AAAAATGAAGATTTCATGTAGGTTATCTTTGTGAAAATTGCCTCTTATTTTCTAGATGTCAGTGGATCACACTTTAGTTGTAGACAACGACAATTTTTATCCGTCAAAGCTTCATGTTATGCAAATTGATTCCGACTAAATTGAACGCCTTAGGCCATTAAATGAACTGGCTAATGAATAAACAGTCAGTATGACAATTAACTCGTGCTTATTTCGATTAAGCTTTGTTCGAGGGTTTCAAAGGGATCTATTGTTAAGAGAAAACAAACTCAAACACGTTGACTAATTTAAACTGTTGAAGAACGCTGTTTCTTGGGATTCTTTGCGAGGTGTTTAATACGTTCTTGGAGCTAATGGCGAACAAATTGATACATTTTTGAAGTAGAAGCATAACGAAATCCATTCATGTTCTTTTAAAATCTGGGTGGAAAAATCTTTGAATATTTAATCCGCACAAAGAGCGATCTTTAACTGAATTGAGTTTTTGTTTGCCAACCATTCATTACTCCATATGTTGCCCTTGTTATATTAAATAGTGAAATATTGATCCAAACAATATGAATGTACAGCTAAATGACTCAAAAGGAACAAATTAAAGACTGAGTGATGCGATCAGTTTTTTTTCAATTTTTATTCTTTGTCAAGAAACGGACTTGCCCAATTAGCTGACAATAGTCATGGGCATGGTTTTTAAAATCACCAAGAAAAATTGTTTATAATTGGAGAAACAGTTTGATATTAATTCAAAGATTTTGCAATAGTGTGACAACAGTAAACACGTGCCTTGTGGAAGCAACAGCTGTACATAGCACATGGTGTTTGTTTTTAAAATTTTGTGCCCTTGTGGCAAAGATCCAAACAAGACTGAAAAAAAGTTGCTTCTATGACAAAAAACTCGAAAATTTAAAACCATGGAGGAATCCTTTATATCCAGGAAACGACACAATCGTCACTCCCATGAGTTTCTTTCCTCCCACTTAGAATACAACCATACAACACACTATAATAAAATACACATTTTGAGACAAGAAGTTTAGTATAGTGAAATAACTTAAATTTGAACTCTTAGAATTCTTCTTCGGCCAGTTGGGTCAGTTAAACAAAACATACTTTGCACTCTCTAAAAGAAGTAAATTTAAGCTTCATTTATCTATTCATATACGACTAGAAAAAAAATTCACGAACAGAAAATAGTCAGAATCATATACCTTTAAGAAAGGTATCTAAAAAGTTGTAAAACTGGTTTGAAAAACTCCTGCCAAGTAGTTGCTTATTATTCCCAACTATTGTAAAGGATGATTTTTCATGTGACGGGAATAGTAATGGTAAATCAAATCAAATCACTGGTTTATTGTCCCTTTTGCAGTCAGAAAACTGAATTGTAGGATTCCTTACAAGCTATGATATATATACTAATACGAGCTAATACGCTACACTTTTTGACAAGATTGATATTTAACACTAACAAAAGTTCTATGGTTAAACAATTTTTATTGATCTTTATCATAGTCGGTCAAAATAGTTTTTACTCTCGTCTCATTAAGATGAATGACTACTATAATAATTTCTGTGAATTTTAATTGCATTTCTTTGAATAAATGTAAAATTTAACAAAAAGTACATTTCATGGAAAAAAATATCTCTTATTAAGACTAAAGCCTTTAACGTGAACAAAAACTGAAAATAATATATAATATAGTATATTTAATATAGTAGCTCATTGACGCTCACAGACGGTCGACAAACTTGATTTTAACCGGTTTATCAGGAACAGTGGTCAGCCTCTGGAGCAAATCCAGTGGCTCATGATGATATTCCAAGCGAAACCTCTGAAGTAACTGCAACAGAGATTATTAAAGAAGTGTTAAGATACAAAAAAATTACTTTAAGCGAGAAGTCTTTGATATACTTACTTTCCATTGTGTAGCCTTCTAGGACGCAGTTGAAAGAATAAGTAACCCTAGACCCAGTGCTAAGTGTTCTGTTCTGTTAAGGTTTTATCAAGAGAAAATGAGCTCCTTATTTTTAAACCGTATACGAGTTAGGGTATCTGACAAAAAAATATAACTTGAAAGCTACTCAAGCAAATTCCAACCATGATTTATTTCCATATTGTAGGATTTAAAAAAACGTTACAAAGGTAAAAGCAAAGTCCAAATGTGGTTTCCTTATGGCTGAGCGTTGTAGGAGAGAGGACACTAAAAAATGGAATAGCAATGGAAGCCAAAGCAACTACAAAACCAGTCGATTATGGGTACTATTAAGTATTACTAACCTGGCACATAAACACGTACATCTCCAATTCAGCTACACGTCGACCTGCCGTGAAAAAAATGTACAATTGGTGCAGCTAGATTTTATTCATTGGAATCACATGTAACATTCGCATTCATGTATTTTAATATTGGTATTATGATTGCTTGTTCAAACGTTCCCTGGCCGTATTTGTTGGAAAGAAAACACTCAGTACTTCTTTGTAGTAAGCCAGCCATATGATATGATTAAGACGACATACAGCAAATCAGTTCTCATTTATAATTACGCCCTAATGCTAGTAGCCTCCCACGCGGAGGTTCTTAGGCTGGGTTTGTAACGCTTGACGAACCCCTAAGAACCTCTGAGTGGGAGGCCATAGTTGGGTTACCAGAGAAATTAGATTATGACGATCAGTGTCATTATCAATCTGCAGTCATGCGTTTCAAATTTTTTAAGAGGGCATGATCAGCGCAGGCTACTTCGTTATGGTGTTTTTTTTCTTCTTTTCTTACCAACGCACATTCGAGGCCCAAATCCAAACTGTAGATGAGAAAAGGAGTGAACGTCTTTACTTTCTCTAATCCAACGCTCTGGTTTGAACTCCAAAGGGTCTTTAAAGTACTTGTCCGAGCGAGTAGTGGCATAAAATTCCATCTGTACGAGAGTCTGCCAGAATTATTTTAAGATAACAATGAGAACTTAACCGTTTCAGCACTTTGTTTTATACATCTATTAATCCTGCACATCAATAACAAGGCTTCATCGATCGGGTGTAGGGCAACAAGGGTCTTGCACTAGAATGAATTGTTTTCGGATATTGTCCTGGGATGCGTGCTCAAGGACATGCAGGTTAATTGAAAATAAAACTGGGGCAACTCTATTTGATCGTTAGATGTACTTAAAATCTCTAGAAAGGTTCAAGTTATAAAAAAATAATATAATCATATAAGCACTTGACTATGACTTAACAGGTATTTAGTCGCAAAATGTCTCAACCTATATGTTATTTTCGGGAATTCTCCTGCAACACCCCAGAGATATACGGTTTAATTGGAATCAAACATGTTCGAGCCTTGATTCACTGGGGGAGTTAGTATTTTAATAGTACTAATGTATAGGTTACTAGTATGCTGTTACATTTTTTCTTTAATTGCACACACGTACACTTTTTAACGAGCACTTTGGTGCTCCTGGTTGTTACTTGTCTAAATAAAGGATTTGAATTGATTTGATTTTGGGGTAGCAAAAACTCAAGCTGGTGTTCTTCAATAAGCGATTCCATCACTATTGGGTGTTATACTTCAGCTTTCATATAAAACCGATGAATCGAACTCAGTTTCTAGCTTTATGTTATAATCCATGTCCCTAACTATCATTTCGACCTGTGCCGCATCAATAAGAGCCCTTGAAATCTATGTATATGTCAATTAATTAATTGAAGATACTTTGCATCACTGTTTGAAAGAAATTAGTGGGATCAACACATCAAGGAAAAAAATGGTTTTGACGCAATAAGAGAAACATACGGAGAAAGACCTTGCCACTCACTAGTTTTATAACAACATTTCACCACCTTGGATCAAAACTGAAGACCTGCTACTTACGTTTGATGGAACATGGTAACCAGATAAATCAACATCTTGATCCACAATTCTTGTAAGGGATGTTATACTTGGGGTCAGCCTAAACATTGGATACAAAAACAGGCAAATGTGATATAATACCATGGTATCATGAACACTATGATAATTATGGTATGATAATAATGGTATGATGGTATGATACCATGGTGTTATACCATGGCGAGAGATTTCTCATGCAACGCAAAGACGAAATAACTGAATGATTTATTCAAAAAAGATAGCAAAAATACTCAAACATGTATCACGAAGAATTTCAACTGCGTTTTAAAGAATTTCTGTGGAAAAACATCCCACCTAGATTTACAGAGCCCGGATGAGCTAGGAAATTGATATTATAAAACTTTGGAGGAGGTTAAATCCTGCAAAATGGAAAAGAGAAAAAAAAAAGAACTTAATGTCACGAGAGCACAGCTTGCTCTTTTCATCTGGATAAGGTACTGACTACAGTACATGTAATTGTAGCCGCCTATTGCAGTAAAAATATCAGATGTGGTTTTACAATACCTCATGGATTCCTTCAGACTCGCCTTCAGATAGTGTAGTTTGGTGAGATGTTTGGGTGTGACGTCATCATCTATCCCTATGACACTTTCTATCTCCTGGTAGAGCTTTTGTTGAACGTGAGGAAATCGCGCTAAATTATACAACCACCATACAGTAGCGAATGAAGTCTGCATCATTTTGAGAAGAAGAAGAAAAAAAACTTTTGATTGTTTTGTTAACTTACAAACTTCAACCAAGTATAGTAGTTAAATTTGAGAAAGTACCCAAAATGGTAGCGAATAAGCCGCACCTGGGGTTTGAGAAAGAGAAAGGGTTTTTGATGCTCCAGCATAGTATTTGTAGTTTTGGTAAAATTAAAACCGATCGATCATTCAGGATAAGAGAAACTAAACCGAGAATAAACACTTAATCCCTTTATGTTCAATAGATACATTTTTCAGCGCCTCTATTTTTACATTAATATCCAAGGTTGTCTTTTTACTTCAATTCACTCATCATTTTTTTTAGCAGTGATGTGTGACTTGAGAGATACCTTACCGTGTCAACTCCAGCACCGACAAAATCAATGGCGTGCACGTTAACCTCCTCAGGGGTGAGACCTTCCTTCATCAGTAAATATGTCAAAAGTGGAACAACTGCATAAAATAATTATCAAATAAGTTAAAAAGATGCTATATATTTCACGTCTGTTAACAGGGAGTAAATTAAAAGTTACACTGTCTTATAAGTTTTCACTGTAATGCAGTGTAATGCATTGTCAATTTGCATTCTTAGGGGAAAAATGCAAACGTTTGTCTTGATTGTTCATTTTGCTGTTTAAGCTTTTCTTTTTCCTACGAAACAATGTAAAAATGTTGCCTAAAACTGGCTTGAACTCATGGCCGAATTCATGGCGTCATATTTCGAATCCACAGGAACAAATTCTCACCAAATTTTGCCAAAATGTGTTTGAGAAAATGAGCTTTGACTTAAGATAAGATATTTTGGCTCAATCTTGTTTCGAAATCAACGAAAAGAAAACATCGGGAGAGGTGAGCTGTCCACTTCCCTCCATTGTACAACAGAGGGTTAATCAAACTGCTAAATTATCTTGCGATGTCAGCCTTTGAGTTTAACAAACTTTGAGGTAGGGGAAGCACTACTTAACTTTAGATCTAGTACCTGTCACACATTCTTTTTTCTAAAAAGAAATAAGTGACCCTTTGTATGTTCACAAACCTTGGGCGTCGCCCAGATCAATTCCATTCTTTGTCATTTCTTTCAGTTCCCTCGTCGTCTTGTCAACAATACCCTCTCCGGTTTCCATTAAGGCATCGGCATTCTCAAGAAACTTTTTAAAAGTTGGTGTGTCAAAATACTGGCGAGCAATTCTGCTAAAGGGATTGAATAAAAGCGTATGGGAAAGTTCGAAGAAGTTGTTAACCTCTTCTGTAAATTTCAGTGCAACTTGAGGTGGCCGATCTTCATACAATCCAAGACGAGTATTAAATACCAATGTAGCAATGCCTGCAATCACGAATAATATTGATAAAGAGAGTTAACAGTGTACGGGAGTGTACAGAGTACATTTCTATCATTTGAACGCGATGAATTGCTGCACCACTTTTGGTAAGGACTCTTAAGCCAGTGCGGGCCGTTCTTCACATTATTTTCTTGCCGAAACTTTGTGCATTCAGTGGCTTGGTTATCTGTTAGCACCTCTCTTTTGAGCTAACTCTCCGTTCTGTCATTTCTGTGTCACGACATTTACATATGTACCTACACTCTCTCAATTTTACGCACAACTTGCAGATAATGAATTATATAATTGTTCCCACTACCGAAATGAGAGGTGAGGTTGATTTTCTCACGCGACAAGGAACTCTTCAACATTAGGGACAACATGGGACTGCAATTACCTAACAAATGAGTCTCTTATAGAATAACTGGATACACTGTATGCTCGACCCTTGTGGCCGGAATCTTGTCAGCGCCACAACTAAGGAGGTCAACTGTAGAGTTGTTAAATTGCCAAAAAAAAATTAATTAGTTTTTAGGTTTTCTTAGCTTTAACCTGTACAGACAGGGAATTAACTCTCGTGCGCACTTGGGAGAGAAGGTACAAAGCTGACAAAGATTTAAGCTTACCTTCTAAAGCCCACCGTTTCATTTCCTTTTCTAAGTCAGGAATGTGACCTTCCTCCTGACTAGTTTCCTTTAGTTTGATAAACCTTGCCACAGCATCCTTGCTCACAGCATTAAAGTTATTCATGTTTTCCTCAACAATTTTGGGGCGCATTATTTTAGGACCAATAGTTTGACGCATTCTGTGCCATTCCTCTCCATCCCTGACAAGAAAATTCCAAAAGAATTAATTGACCAGCAATTTATGTATAATGTATTTCGGTAAAATGCCTTGGCGATTTCCACAGTGTTGGCCAACGCAGCTGGCTTTCTTAGGCGCCCCACAAAGCATTCGGGGTTCGGAAACATTCTTTATAGTTATTTGGACTAGTTAGCACCTGTGACAAATCAACAAAAATTACAAACTGAATGTACGTGTTTTCATAGTAATAATACAAAGGGGGGCTGAAAATGAATAAAACTGACTATTTATCCATTTCACAGTAAGGAAAACTATTTAGAGCAGAGATTGCTGCGATATTTGTTCTGGTTCAGGTTAAGTTCTTGAGGAGAGAGGAGACATGAGGAGGTATAGAATATTCCAAATTCAGCGTGCAATATAAGAGAAAGATTTGTGCTTGAAAGTAGTAACTTAGGGGCCGGCTGATTTGAGTCTACTTCTCTTATTACTACAAAGATTATAGGCTGATAGTTTTTTTATATATATACTAAAAGTTTTATTTGTATTATTAGGTCATTGGGATCGGATAACCCTTGAACATAACAGTGAGAGCTTGAACCAGACACCTATACCACATTATTTGTTCGTAAAACGTGTCGGGCAATTTAGACAGTCCAACTGATCCGTTGTTTAAAGGATACTTTGTACTTTTTAAAGTAATTTTATCACAAGTGATACTAATTGAAAAGCTTCTAAGGAATACTGCCTTAACCCATGTTTTCAAAGATGCAAACTCGTTTAGCGACTTGATTCAAGAATGCTTAGGTTTTACACCGGCCAAAGTAAAAGGAGTAGCCGCATTTTGTTTAGTATTGCTCACGCAAGTAAATGCCAAAGGATATACCTCAATGCAAACTGCTCAGTTGGAAGCTATTTATGGTATACTCACGCTATAATTATGCCTGGAAAATGATTCCTCCGCCTGCGGTGTTCAATCCAAAAATCTAACATAGCCCGACTTGGATATTTTCCTTCTGCCAGGTAAACTTTCGCGAAATCTTCAGGATCTATAACGTGCACCGTCTTAAAGGGCGTAAACATAAAGTCGTCTTTGTAAATGGGGCCAAGTTCGTCGAAAAGGCGCGCAGTTTCTTTGAAAAATTTGGTAAAGCCCTCGGTCTTCGTGCATAGATTGTATATGAACTTCCATCTATTAACTTCTGGGATGTCTTCGAAAGGACGCACTCCATCGTCAAAAGTGTCTTCGCGTTCTGAGGGCACCACTTCTGTCTTCAGCGACGACATCCAGTTTTGCGGTAAAGGCTTAAGCTGTCGTGTTCTAAAGCTAAGAAGATTCCTGCGAAAAGGGATGCTCGGGAATAATGAGAACATCGCGTTTCTCACTTGAATGGGTCACGACAAAGGCTGTAATGGCTACCGACGTGGCAGCTTAAATTTATCCGATAAGGTCGAAAATCAAAATACAACTGAATATGGTGCGGCAGAGAGATGAGAAGTTATACAACAATTCAAGTCTGGCCTGGGATTATCAGTAAAACGTGACCGTGATTACCGCTAATAGACTATTTATAGATTATTGTTTAAAATCTCCTTTATATTTCTCATAAATAGTTTCATATTTTCACAGGTCGCGTTTCGCATGTAATGAAATGCTGGCTATCTCGGAGGTCGTGTTTGCCTTTTTACCAAACCCTTTCCGGTAACATATGAAAAAATTAGGGCGAAACAACTGCCCATGGCTGCCAATTCCATGGGTGATATGGCTGTGCGCATGCATTAGCTGTACTGGCCTGTGGTTTATTCACTAGCGTCCGCGACCTGGAGAAACCACTGTAGGGTACTTATCAATAGGGACCTGGCTTAAGCAACTTCGACGACGACGGCAGTGAAGACGTGACTGAAAAAAGTGAATTTGCATCCTTTCAAACTTAATCGTGTGACAGAGTACGCTTGAATTTCTCAGCTTTTGCGTGACGTGGAATAAAATCTGTTGGCAGCCGGGAAATAAATTTTTACAGTTTTCTGACTTGGATGTGATTTGAATATTATATACATTCTAATCAGAATGATATTGTCACTCCTCATTTTTTATTTAGTATTTAATGAATTCTTAAAATTTCATTTATTAATAAGATAGTTTATTTTCAATACGGAGACAAAATGCATCTCTTGAATGTAACGCACCCCAATAACAACCATCCAAATTGTACTGCCAGCTTTTAATTTCAACGGGCAGTCGTTGAAGTTGGCTGATGAGTGTGGTCCTAAATTTTCGAACTATAGGAAACAGCACTGTTAAGTTGTCCACTAAGTACTCTCACAGAAGCAAGGCCGTAGTATTCTTTCCCTTGCTTTGTACGTGCGAAGAGCGCTTCTTGTTGTGCCCCCGGTACTTCCGGTGTATTACTGGTTTTTACGTGACCTCCTCAAAACTGTTTCTATTTTTAACTATCGTTGGGATTAGAGCAGCTAAACATCTTTATGTATACAACTTTTTGCTTTGAAAGGGTCCTTCGTTTTGTGACAGAGTTCCCTTGAATTTCTCAGCTTTTGCGCAACGCGGCATAACATCTGTTGGCAGCCGGGAAGAAAATTGTTATAGTTTTCTGATCATTTGGAGTGGATGTGATTTGAATATTATATACATTCTAATCAGAATGATATTGTCACTCGTCATTTTTTATGTAGTATTTAATGAATTCTTTATATTTCATGTTTAATACGGAGACACAATGCGTCTCGGACCATACGAAACAGCACTGTTTCAAAGTTTATTTTCGCTCTACAACTAAGTCTGTTTGCATAGATTGATTCACCCTTTTGGGCTTAACAAGGAGAGCCCCGCTGGTTAAAACAAAATAAGATAATTAACACATACGTAATCATCACGTGTACTGTTTGAATTCATTATCAAAGGGTTTAATCTGTCTCAATAAACGATGATTACTCCTGAAGCCTTAACTCTTGCAAAAGCGCCCTGGGGACGAGGTTGGAACTCCTGTGAAGTTATAGAATCTCTTTATTCTGTATAAACGGACCCAGTTACCCAGATAACACAGTTGATATTTAGAAATTATTGAATGAGGCTGAGTATCATCATCTGAAGTATTATGGAGATCGAGAAGGGTGTTATCCTGGCAGTACCCCGACCCGCCCTCCCCCGGTGCCAAAGCTATTTCATTTTTTAGTAACGTATTCCTGTTTTATTTGGACAGAGGGTGCTCATTGTTTTTAAGCTAAAGTTCCAGGACTTTCGTTTCGAATATTTAGTCGAAGTAGACTGATTGTGGGATGAAATAAAAGGGTTGTAATTTAGTTGCGCGCTTTGGCGCTTTTGCGAGTCTACAGGTTTTTTAAACAGCGGTGGAAACGTGCAAATGCGAGCATTGCCAGGCTGCCCAGCTGTCCAAGCTGAAGTAAACATGAAAGTTTTTTGGGGGAGAGAAACGATGAAAACAAGTAGTTCTTCGTGTTCTACAGGACATTCACAGGCCCAGTTAAAGGTTACATCTTCGATATTGATTTGCAGCCTCCCAATTAACCACCAAAGGGCTTGTTTAACGTATTGAAAACTGAAGAAAGTTTTACTTCGTCCCCGGCGACACCGATGGAAGTGGGCACAGAGTTTGGAAGTCGAGGTAAGTGACAGTACTTTGATAATATTGTAAGGAAAGTGCAGTGGATAATCCCTCGTATTTTGACTTAATCTTAACTGATCGGTAAAGAAACCTTTCGCTTCGTAGTTCAATTACCTGTTATCTTAATGAGGTCAGTGTAAAATAGAGATTCAGGACTGCGGACTGCTGACTGCGGACCAGGGGTAAAATGCAGACTGGGTGCAAAATGGGAAATGAGGACTGCGGACTGGGGGTAAAATGTAGACGGAGCATAAACTGTGGTCACGGAAGGGTTAAAGGGCAAACAAATCCCTTAAGTACATGGAAACGATCATTTACTTGACATCTGCTTTCACAAATCCATTCCTTTCTTCTCTGGAAAATCGTCGACAACCCCAAAACATAACCGCTATCTTGAACCTTTTTTCCGAGAGACCTCACGCTTCAAAGTTTTCGATATGCGTGACCATGAATTGGTACAACACTATGATGTTTATGCTTAAATAAAAGCTGCTGACCCAAAATACTGTAGAGAAGGAATAATTGCGATTAAAAAGGGAGCAAATCATTCCAACAACAAAGAAAGATGTTCTGCAGGAAATTTTCTTTGACAGTATTGCAAATCAAAGTACGCAGACTTTAGCTGTTCGACGCTCATTGAAACTTCTGGCGAACGTGCAATGTACTCCGACCAGGAAGCGAGTTGTGTAACTTATAGTAGCTAGCTTTTTGGAGAAGAAGGAGCACAAATGTTTAAAAAGTCTGCAGTCCTCATTCTGCATTTTGCACCCAACCTGCGTTTTACTCTCAGTCTGCAGTCTGCATTTTGCACTCAGTCTGCGTTTTACCACTGGTCCGCAGTCTGCAGTCCACAGTCCACGGTCCGCAGTCTTTGTTTTACACTGACTGAATCTTAATCTATCAAGAGAGGTCGGTGCACAACATTTAACTGATGTTTTGTAATCTGGCAAACAATATTTTATTTCGATCCAATACTTTTCGTTGTAGGTTGGAGAAGCCATTTTTAAATGTCCATTTGACTAAATTCAAGTGCGGTGTTCGTGATGAAATAACTCGAATTTCTGGTAATGTGAACTCAACTTCTGGTGCTCAGTTTGCGCTCTGTCATCAGTCAAGGTTAGAGATCCGCGCATGGGTACTGTGTTCACATAGTGGGTGGTTTGGGTTGCACGTGTTCCTAATAATTGTGCAACTGGTATAGAATTTAATCGGGAGCCGAATTTTAAGCATCCTGCTGAGGAAAGATATTTATAGGAGCAACAATATTTTACTGTCTGATTGTCCCAATTCAGTAACGAAGAAGTTGACTAAAATCATTCTTAATTACCACATTTATTTCATTCCTGTCAAAAACTGCACTGTCTACCAGAGTATGGCTAGCTATAGCTACAATGTAATCACATCCGTTCATAAAACCTCCCGATTAGTCAGAAAATTTTATAATGGAGTACCGGAACAAATACCCTGATAATAAATACAATCGCGTCACCTCCAAATCATAAATTTTAATGCTTGGTCATTTTACCGTTTCCTTTAACAGTATATTGAGGAAATAATTGGACATTTTTTCCATTTGTGTTTTATTTACAAACAGCTAATAGCAACCGGAATAGAATTACGAGTTATCTTTAAATGCGACTATAGATTAAAAACGAGAAACATGTTAGCTAATTGCATTTTTCATCATCCTGCGTTCATTGACTTTACTGAGGACTAAAGGTTTAAATTTTCCTAAAGGTAAGTAATACGAACCATGGAACCGANGCAAACAATGTTTTATTTTCGATCCAATACTTTTCGTTGTAGGTTCGAGAAGCCATTTTTAAATTTCCATTTGACTAAATTAAAGTGCGGTATTCGTGATGAAATAACTCGAATTTCTGGTAATGTGAACTCAACTTCTGGTGCTCAGTTTGCGCTGTGCCATCAGTCAAGGGTAGAGATCTGCACATGGATACTGTGTGCACATAGTGGGTGGTTTGGGTTGCACGTGTTCCTAATAATTGTGCAACTGGTATAGAATTTAATCGGGAGCCGAATTTTAAGCATCCTGCTGAGGAAAGATATTTATAGGAGCAACAATATTTTACTGTCTGATTGTCCCAATTCAGTAACGAAGAAGTTGACTAAAATCATTCTTAATTACCACATTTATTTCATTCCTGTCAAAAACTGCACTGTCTACCAGAGTATGGCTAGCTATAGCTACAATGTAATCACATCCGTTCATAAAACCTCCCGATTAGTCAGAAAATTTTATAATGGAGTACCGGAACAAATACCCTGATAATAAATACAATCGCGTCACCTCCGAATCATAAATTTTAATGCTTGGTCATTTTACCGTTTCCTTTAACAGTATATTGGGGAAAATAATTGGACATTTTTTCCATTTGTGTTTTATTTACAAACAGCTAATAGCAACCGGAACAGAATTACGAGTTATCTTTAAATGCGACTATAGATTAAAAACGAGAAACATGTTAGCTAATTGCATTTTTCATCATCCTGCGTTCATTGACTTTACTGAGGACTAAAGGTTTAAATTTTCCTAAAGGTAAGTAATACGAACCATGGAACCGAACTTTACGTTAACCCGAAAACCTGTTAAAGTTTTTAATCTTCAAAATGCCTCGTTTTTAACTCAGTTAACTTTATTAAAGATGTATTTGTTTTACGATTGATGCGTGCACAATCGCTGACATGAAAACTTTTGCATACCAATCTCAAACGAACTTACTTGGAAAACGCGTCGCCTTCATGAAGCAACTAATTGCTGCAAATTGTGGTAACAGAGTTAGGGTGAACACTCGATGCTGCCTACATCTTCGCGTTTCTGCTGTCGTCAATGTTGGTCGTATGCCTGCTGGACCTCGTAACGTACAGAGTAATGCATCCTTTAATTTCTTAAGTTTATCGAATTGGTTAATGCAACAGTCTCCGGAGTACTGTTGTTGTTTTATTTTCTCATGAAAACTGAAAAGACCCTAGAGCCCTGGGTCTTAACGTAGATTTATTTACATTAGACTGCCCGTTACTTCTCTTTTCGAATGCAAGGAACTACAGAGATGCGTATGTTAAGTGATTTTTTTTATAGCGGAAGATTATAAGGCGTCGCAAACGCATTAGCTTCATTTCCGTGGGGCGAAAGCTGTAAGAAATAAAGAAAAAGAACTGATAAAATAAAGCGTGAAATTGATTTTTTACTCACTAAAAATTAATCCCGAAGGATAATGCAAATCAGTGATCAGTGCATCAGATAGCCTTCATGAGATAATCCAGTGCATGACTGCTTTGAGTGTTTTGAGATACAAGATAGTTCGGCTTGGTCATCTAAATTATTCTTACGGCTTATGCCAGCTTATACTCGCTGTGAATGTGCAAAAAAAATGAAATAAAAAAAAAATGATAGTAATAGATAATAATAATAACAATAATAATAAGTAAATAAATAATACAATAAAATGATGTATAAAATCAATGAGGGAGATTAAAATAATTGGTAACAGCAGATTTAAATGCGTCTACGGAAGGCTGATCTGATAAAAAAGAAGGTAAAGTGTTCCATTCTTTTAGAGTTCTAGTAAAAAATTTGAATTTATAGGTGTTGCTGTTACTACCAATGTTTATAAACTTGCTGCTGTGGTAAGAGCGTTTAACACGGGTTGGGCGTGCAATGTACTCCGGAATATTGACCTTTGTTTTATTGTTTACTATTTTGTACATGGTGGTAAGTCGTGCAATTTTGCGTCTCAGTTCTAGTGAGTGCCAGTTCAAATCGTTCAGGAATATTAGTGACTGTACCGGGTTCCCGCTCGCAGCAGGCTTTAGAAACCTGGCGGCTGGCCCAACATGCAACTTACAATAACAGAGTTTAATAAATTTATCGAAACTTAAAAGTGGGTATGGAAATCAGTTTGGCAAACTAAGAAGTTAATTATTATAGGTTCTACAGAAGGTAAAAGGCGAAGGCAAGGCAACCACTATTTTACGTCGATAACAGGTGACAGTAATAACTGATAAACTTGAGGTCGACGCTCATTTTACTCCCCTCTTTTCGTCAATGCTCCGTTTTAAAGGTATTAAAGCTAGTCAAAGCTGCACAGAAATGAGAGAAGTTGAAACAAGGATGTGATGTCACCGGGGATCGAACTCGGGATCTCGCGCATGCACCGAAGGCCGCGCACTAAGCAACTGTGTCTCCCTTGCTCCTAAAAGAAGCAACACAAATAATTCGTGTGTACGTAGTATGAGGTCAGTGGTAATTGAATAAAAAAGTGGCGACTGAATTCAAATCTAGCGAAAACACATATCCGAAGGATTTAGTTCGATACAGCATAAGCACGACGACGTAGCAGGACACAACTTTTGAACTAAGCCTCAGTGACGCGAATGAAATGCAGTTTTATCAATTTTAGTTGTCTCAAACGCGTTGTATTCACGACTTGAACTAATCGTTCAAATGACCTTGAGTGATCTTCATAAGTTCGTAATGTCAATGAGAACGGCACACTGATTATGTCCCAATTGAAAGGAATGTGAAATTGCCTTCAACATGCTTAGTAACCACGTCAAAAGAATAAGATTATGTTCCCCGTCGTCGAACGCATTTATGTAAACTTATGCTCGGTTGCACTGAACGGTTCATTCGTTACCTATACGTTTATAACAACATGCCATGGCCTTGAAGCAGTTATTTACTTGAGATAAAAAAAATATACGGTGACCCAAAACCGAGGCGGTATCCCATTTTGCCTTACAACTAACCACGGCGGCTCAGCAAGTTAACACCTACATCTCGAAATAGACATAGATGAGGCAGACACCTATTGAAGTGACGACGTCGGAAGTTTTCCTACTGTTCGAGATGGTTCAAGTTGTCTGAGTTGGTGCTCACAGCGTATAGTGAGTCATGTAAGCCAATATTATCATATTTTGAATCTGAGACATGTTTATTGAACCTTTCCTTATTCAGATCTTCCCAGTCTAGCAGCTTTTTAGTTCAGCTCAGCTTAGCTGTTCCATTGAAGCATGACCTTAATTCCTAAATTCCCAAGAAACAGAATAGTGTCTGTTAAAATGTTAATAGAAGTTTCTTTCTTTTCTTGTGCAAAATCTATGTTCTATGATATCTATTAGATTATTGTATTATTGTCTAAATAATAGAATAATATTACAAGAATAAGATTATAAGGTGCCTTTGAGGACCTAAACAGACACACTTAGCTGAATATGGTGATTCGGTGTGATATGCGCCTGCTAAAAAATATAAACATAAAGTACAAGTGCAAACAACAATGGTATTTTGTCGCTCTTTATGGGACTGTATCGTTAAACAAACATTTCATGCATATCTAAAGGAATTAGTTATAATTTGATTCCCTAGGTTGAACCCAAAACAAGTACGAAAAATGAAACAGGTGGCGTACAGCCCTGTGGCTCGTTTGACAGGGATAACCGTGGGTTCCTTTATGTTTTTAAAACGTCTTGTTGAGATATATCGATATTGACCAAGCANGAATTAGTTATAATTTGATTCCCTAGGTTGAACCCAAAACAAGTACGAAAAATGAAACAGGTGGCGTACAGCCCTGTGGCTCGTTTGACAGGGATAACCGTGGGTTCCTTTATGTTTTTAAAACGTCTTGTTGAGATATATCGATATTGACCAAGCATATAGGAGCCTATCAGCGTGAGGTCAAATTGGTTGGATATTGGCCAAGTTTGTTTTAAAGATTTAGTATTTGGCCAAAGAAAAATTTTTACTTGCGGAAAGATGAAAATTATCTATGGACAACTTTCAAGATGCCATTTCAAGATCTCGACTGTTATTTTGGTGAGATAGCTCCTTTTTTATAGCACTTTTAAAAATTCTTTTTACCTGTCTTTTATTACAATGAAATAATGTAGGAAATGAAAACTCAAAGTTTCCAGTTCATCCAGTTGCGTTGTTTATTGAAAGCTGTAAGAGCTAGCTGTGTCATTGTCTACGGAAATGGGTATGAGAGAGTCTTGTACAAACACTAACGAAACTACCTTGTATGATAGTAAGAACCTCTAGTGTTCCAAAATGCTGGTTGTATTTCCGACAATGACATAAATTGGGGGTATCTTAACTGGTTTCTATGACAGGTTTTTTGTTTTGTCTGAGTTCTTTGCCAAAGGCGAAGTTGCATCTGGTCCCGGGGAGGGTGGGGGAGCTCTCCCTTTTTTGGCCTTAACGGGTAGGTGCTGCTGATTCGAACAGGGTATTTGGTTTTCAGGGTGTTGAGTCTGATAAAGGGTATACAGTTTCACTATTTAGCGTCTTAAAAAGGGTTTATTTTGCACCGGAATGCCTTTCAAAGAATATGAACCTTCAATCGACGACAAAATGAGTCGAGACACTTCGCCCTCAAAGGGGCTTTTTGATGTTTTACCACTTCCAAAGGGGAAAATATAGCTTTTTCCCCCCATGCCCTCTATGCAATGTTGCGCCGCTGTTCGAGCTAGCTTTAGAAAACAACAAACACCCCAACTTTGAATGGAGGGGACAGGGGAGGGATGCGGATTCTTATGTTCTCTGAAGTTACCCTATTTGTTACCCGATTTTTGGAAATGGGCGGACTACATTTGTGGCAGCAACAATATTTGTGCAAGAAAATTTACTTCCACGATCGTCGGTAACTAAAAATTACTTATTCTGTGTGAGAAAAGAAACGAATGAGTGTCATAAAAATTAGGCACTTGTCTTAAACAGGGGAGCGAAAATGACCGCTTTTTGTCTTTAACAGGCCCTCCCCCCCACTTCCCCCGCTATATTGGACATCTGGTGCATCTTTGTAACTGTATCGTGCGTTTTTGAGCGCTTGAGGCGAGATGAATCATTTTTCCGATCTTTATCTATAATAATTGTTGTAATCTTGCGATCTGTAGGCAGGCCGAGTCTTTTGTCGTAAATGTTGGGTCTTATTCGTCCTTCCATCGAGCTGATCCGTTATAATCCCTACATGGTGGATCTCCGAGTTCGAGCTCTAGCGATATTTCGGGTACTCAAGATTGCCAGTTTACTGTGAACAGGAGACGAGCCCGCTAAAACAGGCATTGAGGGCAGGCTTAAGTAAGTGGTGCTGTTTTGATTACACCATTTCTGCTTTTTGCAGGACTCCATTCTGTTTGTCTAAATTCGATGGAATATGGTCCGTTTGAGAAGCTTCGAGGTCCTATTTCTACAAAACCCTTTTCCTTAACTCTTAGTTAGAGACAAGGCGACTGTCGAAGTCGCTTATATTTTAATATTATCGCCCAGAAACTTCCACGAATTTCCATTGTTATAGTGTCTGTTGATGTATTTTTATATGATGTGAGAATTACTTTGCCTTAGATGGATTTACCCCTCCTTACATTGGGCTAATTCAGTTGCCTGTATAGAATTCTACACGGCTCAAAGAAACCGAACCCGCAAATGCAAATGTTGCGCCTGCCATTGATTAAGTTTGATAACGCTATGAGAGTGATTTATGTTGGCTTTGACTAAACAAGATGAGCTACATCGTCAGCTAACTAGCTTTTGCCTTGTGAACTGCTGATAAGATATGTTTTTTCTGACCCTTCATCCGTGACAGTTTGATTTCCGTATGCGCCGTCCGTCATTTTGCTAGGAGAATGAGGTTTAAAAAAATCATTTTCTCGCCCACGGTTTATCCACTGTTTCGGAGAGAAAGTGCGCAAACGCTACAAGATGTGAAACATAAGTATAAAAAAGTTACCAGGAGTGGGGTTTGAACCAACGCGGATAACACGTTCATTGGATCTTAAGTCCAACGCCTTAACCACTGAGTTTGTGTCATCGCCACCAGTCTACTTTATTTTGATAATTAACTTCATTGACAAAACAATCGGTGACAAAGCGAAAATAAAACAAAAAGAAAAAAAAAGAAAATCATTTTATAGTACAATTAAAGTACTACAATTTACAAGTTTTAACATGTAAGGTTTAACTAGGACGTTTCGAGTCGATTCAGCTGTGGTTTAAAATAGTGAGTTATTGTAGACGAATTATTAAGTGCGTTCAAGTCTCTCTTGGATGGATCCAACTGTTTGATTTTAGAAACTCTGACACGAGAACGCAATTAAATAGTGGTAATGACAAGTGTTTAATACTCCACCAGGATGGCCGAGTGGTTAAGGCGTTGGACTTAAGATCCAATGGACGTATTGTCCGCGTGGGTTCAAACCCCACTCCTGGTAATATTTTTTATCCCTACATTTCAAATCTTGCTGCCTTAGTAAACTTTCTGGTAATTTTATCCTGGTTTTTTTTTTCAAAATTACAAACACTATTCCTCTCACCAGTAGGAGACATTACTGTTTACAAACATTCTTTTTATTATTCAAATTAATTTGTGATTAGTGAAACAAAAGAATACTGATTTTGTTTCAAGAACCAATACGCTTGTGGTTGGCACATAGACATTACATGTAACCGGTGACGTCAGCGTGAGTATTTGACACGCTAAAAACGTTTTTTTCTCATATGACGTAATTCAAAATGGTTCTGTGAGGATAATTGAACGATCAGCAAGATTATGAACTGCATGATGTAAAAAAAGGAAAAAACTCAAAACTGTTCTACAGAAATCTTCAATCTCTCCTGCGTGCATCTATTTCGCAACTCATGTTGTAAGACAAAGTTGTACAACTAATGTTATCATAAACACAGCAGTCGAGCCCTAGCCGAAAAGAGATTCATTTTTATCAGTTTCAGCTCTTTAAATTCGAACCCACTACTTCGCTTAATTAAACAGATGAGAGGTTTTGTAAGGAAATCAAGCGATTATCTTAAAATATTTATCAGGATTCATAACACTGCTAACAGCCGATCTTCGATTATTTAGAGAGAAAGGAAAAATGACCTTAGTACATGTGCACAGACATGACTCCGGTTAGATTGATTTCTTCTGAAAACATTCCTAATTCGATTATCTCTAGTCCTCTGTAAAGTTCTAAAACTACTAAAGATAAGGAGAATTGATGGCCGACAGACAGTAGAATTAGTGTCAATACAGTTCTCTTAAAATTGGTCTTCCCACAATTGCATTGACAAGTAAAATACCTATACCTCAACCCTTGCACAGAGAATTGATTTATAAAGCCGAACAGCTATAAATGTTTCTGGGCTAAAGCTGATTTGACGCTTCAGTTATGATTAATTTACCCCCATGAAGCTGACATATGGACGATTTAATAAGATCAAAGTCTTAAATTGATTTCATAGCATGCCTGAAGATCACTAGATTAACTATAACTGAAACGCACACGTCCCGGCATTGGATCAATCTATAAAGCGAATAAACCGTAAGTAAAGACGAACAATGCAAAATAGTGTTGGGTAGAGGTATGTTACAATAGTTATCATAATTTGTGACATAGCCATTTTTTAGACATTTTTTTGTATAGTATCCCAGCCAAAAATCATCTAGAACGGCTGACTTGAATTTATCGCTCAGGCAGCAAAATTAAGATTAAACGATTCAATATTTCCCTCCATAAAGATAAAAAATATATAATTTAAGCAAAAAAGAAAAAACAAACGATTTATCTCTATTAATGTTAATGTTTTGTAAATTAAATCGCTTAAAGTAATACAAGTAGTTTAACTTCAAAAGGTTTTAGTAATATATGTAGAAATATTTTTGACAATAGGATCTTTTAGAGTTCTACTGTTGAAAAGGAGAATCAGTTGCTGTTTGCCGTGGATTCTGAGTTTCATGTAAATTCATGGGTTATAACCAAGCTGGCCGGCTATAATTTCAATTATTACATCAATTTTTATTTTCTAGGATCATCTTTTATTGATATCGTCTATTGTCCAACGCATAACGCTCGATACACATTAGGCAAAGCGTTGCGACAGTTCAGGTCATTTTAAACCTATGAGGGCGAAATCTCATGAAATTCGGCTAAAGCAACGATAGCCTGCGTTGCCGACGGTATTGTGTAGTAGTCGAGTGAGATTTGGCGGCGGAGCCGTTGTAATTTTTTTTCGAGTGAGATTTGACGGCAGTTTGGGGGCAAAAATGCCGGATCCATATTTAGGTTACTAGTTCTCAGCGATCGGTCACGTAATACAAACTCAAGGGCGAAGCTTCATGCCGCAGCATCAGTCGAGGATATACACGATAAATTTTCCCCCTAAATCTGAAACCTGAGATAAATATGCTACTAAACTGTATGGTGGAAACAAGAGATGGAAAGATAGTCATATATTTTTGTTGACTACCATTAATTTTTTTTAACCAATTCGACTCTTGTATTCGCAGAGCACATGATGGGGTCTTTTAAAGCTGATAAAGCTCTAACTGTTGGCGAAATCCTGTGATGTGATTATTCAAATAAAACCTTTCTGGCATTACTTTCACGTGGTGCTATTTAATATGCAAACAAAACTTGTGAGAATTTGTAAAATTTTGATGTTGGCAACTTTTGGGAGTTTTAAAAAGGTTTAACGATGACTTATCACGAGAGTAGTTTGAAATGCGATCCAAGTTCAAATTCTAAGCAGGTTATCGGTAATAAACCATCTGTTCGAAATGTATGTGCTCTTGAATAACATGTCAAATGTGACCTAAAGAAAGACGGTTTAATTGGCCTTGGATTACAAGAGGGACTTGAAATACATTAATTAAACTTAAGAATAATTATTTATCCGTGTTGTGCCTAACTTCAAACGAAACATTGAAAAAACGATGTATTATCCTGTCACAAATATGTTTTTCCTAGAACCTTCGAGTATAATTTTGGGGAAGGCATGTGACTCATCTTACAAATCTATAAGCTATAACTCTTGTTGAAGCAAGAGGAATATGAAATAATTAAATGAAAGTCCCCTTTCCTAATGTATTCCTACAAAGACCAAAAAAAAAACAAAAAAAAACAACAACAACAAAAAAAAAACAGAAAAAAATATATCAACAACTGTTTCTAAGAGAGAATACATCTCCATGTCAGTTATTCTTTGACTCATCGCTTTTTCTAGGGCATAGATGATATTTATAAAAGCATTTAAGTGCAGTACGCTTTCCGGTAATTCAAAGTGCTATGATATTTCAGATTTGTAGACAGGAAAGACCCTTTGGACATTTTGCAAATAGTCAAGGAATGCAGTAGAATACACTATTTGGCTATTTATAATCTTTCTTATTTTCTTTCTGTTAAGTAAAAATTCGCTTTCTTATAATACTACCCTTATTTTTTATTTTCATTTTTTACCCTCTGTCTTTAGCCGCAATCGACTATAAAAATGGACAGTGTAACTAATCTTTTTTCCTAGTACTGTATTTTACTAACCGAAACGGCCCTATTTTTAAGCTAGCTAGTTCCAGTTTATAAATGTTCCCAGGCAGACTGGAAATTCAATTGGTCGTAACCTTTTCCCTTTCCGATTTAAATAACAGAAAATCCTCGTATCTTTTGTCCGGCAACTCCTCTTTGTGTCCATCTTTCTATTTTTTAGTTTAAGGCTAAAATTTGCGGTCTGGTTGATTGACGCGACCTTAAGCAGTGCAAGGCAAAAAAGGGACAAAAGTGAGCTCTCTCGTAGAAATTCTTCATTGCCTCTTTGGGGCCATTTGCGCAAAGTGACCTTAAGTCCAACTTAACTTCTCTTGGTTTCCACAGATACATGAGATGCTGTGGAAAGCATGCAATGATAATGATAGTTTGACTTATTAGAAAAACCTTTGATCCTACTTATGGCGAAAAATGTTCACTTCACTGCTGACTTTATTTCATGTCGGTAACCTGTTAAGACGCTATTTCAGATTGAAGTAGCTTAGAGCGGATATGAAGAACATAGGGCGTGATACTACAATATACCAATTTCAAGTACAGACGAGGCCTTGAATGATTCTAAAAATTGTCCTACGTCCAACAAGGAATTAGATATGCTCATTGATGACTTCTGTTAACTCCCTCGATTTTTGAAACCTGCCATGAAATTAAGTGGTTGCTGTGTGTTATGTAAATTTTCTTTTTAAAACATTGAAATTTATTGAAGGAGATCGACTTAAGACATACTATAAATCTAAATAAATCTCGGATTCCCAGTAGGGATATTAGTTGGGACGCAATATTTACATGCTGAGGTTAACAGCAACGTTTACAACAAAACTGAAAAAAGAAGGAAAGCAGCATTTCACCCAACCCAGTCCCTAGAAAGTTCCTGAGGCGAAATTCCCATTTTTTTATTCTTTTAATCTAGAAAATATTTTCTGGCCAATGAGAAACAAGGAAACCTATTGTAAATCCCGGGGCTTCGGGGATCCTTAATTAGATAAAATGTGAATATAAAGTGAAGGGTTGTAAATGTTTCCTTTGTGTTTGTAAGGCTCAGTACTAAGTAACCGTGATAGGTGTTGTATGGTATGTGGGTAGTATAAATGTCCTCTTGGTCCTAATGACTCGTGTACTACTGCATCAAATTTACATTGCGTTCGTTATTTACAGAACCGGGGTTAAAAAAACTCGAACTGATTGAGAGTGCGGAGGAGCTACCGTAACGATAATCGCCACAGCGCGCATGAGTAAGTAACATCTACGTAAAGTTGTAATAACTCGCTTTTAATATCCATCCAGCCTTTTTTTCTTCTTTT